GCCAGAATTTTTTAACTTGTAAAGGGGTCGCGTATTCAAAAAGGTTGAAAAACACTGACTTAGCAGATGAAGGTGTTTGCGGGGTATTGTAGTTTTGCGGGATGAAATTCTGATTCCACTGCTTTTTAATTTATATGTTAATAGCTTGATAGTGCGACTTGCTAAATCTGACTTACCTGAAATTTATCTTTCTGATTAAGTTGAGATACATATATTAATGTACGATGACGACACTGTAATTCTTGCTTACTCCACAAATGTTGCAACAGAAAATTAAAATTTGCGATTACGGATTAACTCTAAATTTTTGAAAACCAAAGTAATGGTATTCAGGAAGGAAGGTAGACTGGCATCCAGAGAGAGATGGTTTTTTAATAATCAACCTAATTTCCACAACACCTTATCTCTCTGAGAATTATTCACGAGGTTTTCAATCTGTTCTACAAACCATCTTCGGGTTTTTAAAAATTCATGGAACATTGATACAGTAATACCTCGACTTACGCGATCCCGGAGTTACGCGATTTTCAAATCTCGTCGATTCGTCTTTTGTTTGAGCGCCACGCAACTCTTGATTACTCACTCCCCCCACACAATTGTTCAGCTTACATGTTCGGACGTGTCGTGTGGAATCGACACATAGCTACAATTTATTTTGTGTTATTTATTTCTGTGTTTGTTATATCTACGGAGACTCGAGAGACTCTATGTGGTGATTTCTTGTAATCGTGAACGAATCAAATGACGAGATAAGATTAACGAGAACATTTATTAGCTTTACATACATCCGACTTGGATTTTACACAAATTGCGAAATTATACCCCGACTTATGCGAATTCGACTTATGCGGTTATCGCTCGGTCCCACCTATCGCGTAAGTTCGGGGTATTACTGTATCTGTTCTTTTTGAATAGAACAATTAAGAACATTTAATATACAAAATTCTTTGGAATAATGAACTATTTGAATTTTAAAAAGTTTCTGTATTAAAATAATTACTATTTCATGTTTGTATAATTTACGAGATATTTTTATATAGCCCTACTGTCCCTTAAGGTAACATTCTAGATCTAAATGAGATGATATAAATTCCCCAAATTAACTTTCTAGATAATTCTGAAAATATTGTTTTTATGATTAATATAAATATTTAATAAAACTTTACTGGCTAATCGGTAAAGATAACCTTCTACTTATATCTTGTCCCCATTAATTTAGCTTAGTTTTTACATCAAATTTACAACATTGTCATAATCTTTTTCTTGCACTACAGAATTTTGAACTTCATTTGTAACTTTTTGCATTCCAGAAAGATCAATGTCCTCCAAATCAAAAAACTTTTGCAAGATTTTTAAAATGTCACGAAAAAGTATTGTCGCAAAGAACAATAATTTGGTAATTATAATTAAATGTGTTAGCAAAATACAATGTATATTTTAGTTTCTTCCATGTTACTCCGTGGGCTCCAGAAGTGTTTGATGAATGTTTTAAATAATAATGATATTTCTGAACTTCTTGTTTTAGGGGCACCTCAAACCGTGACTTTGTATAGAGCGTCGTTTATCCGAATCAATTGGGACTGGGGTTGCTTGGATAACTTATTTTTCGGATAACCGATTATGCACGAAAAATATATTAACCTATCCCAGGGGTCGCCAAACTTTTCTAACCGTCGACCCCCAACCACTTTCCAAAACCTCACATTGACCCCCACCGTAAAGTTTTATTACAAGTGTAAGTGTATGAGAAAAAAAACGTGATCTCTGTATAAGCAAAAAAAAAGTTGTGACCCCTTAGCCGCGTCGACCCCCCAATGATGTTGCCAAAGGGGCCGCCAAACGCCAAAGTGGTCGATATCGACCACTTTGACCCCTGATTTACATTATTATTGATATAAATGTTCATTTGTTCAAAATCTTAAATCTCCGAAAGTTCATTACCAATTGCTTTTTAATTTTGACACTACGTTGCATTCGAATATGCATGTTTTTATATTATATAGATGTCAAAATTCCTCCCTGCGAGGGAGAGGGACAAAATTAAGACTTACCGCGAAGAACTCAGCTTCTATTATACTATTTTAGATGTCTTTTTTTGTGGAGTTTTGAGTTTTAATAGGGTACGTCAAGTGAATGTACACTAAGAAATTTTTCGAATTCCCCCCATGGGAAGTGTTATACATTTATAATAGATACATTTTGAGCCACAGCTAGTTATACATAAAACCAATACATTTTGTAAAAATTACAGCTATACATTAGCAACATAAAATTATACCATATGTAGTTTAAAATGAATTATTTCGTTTTTTCATTTGTTTTCAGCAGTCACACAATTAAGACTTGTTTAGTCCATTTTGTATAATTCACATTATGATTTTAACCAATACATTTAAAATACAAATATACCTTGGAAGAATTTTTTATATAAAGACATTTAAGTTTCACTTTTTAATCTTTACATTTTTAAATTGTCAATGGAGTTTATAATAGTAATATTCCATACTTTATCACATCATTCACAAAAACTTGTATTTTAAATGTATTGGTTAAAATCATAATGTAAATTATACAAAATGGACTACACAAGCCTTAATTGTGATTGCTGAAAACAAGTGAAAAAAAGGAAATATACCAAATGTAGTTTAAAATGGATTACTTTTATGTTGCTAACATATAGATGTAATTTTTACAAAATTCATTGATTTTATGTATAATAATAATCTAACTGAAAAGAAAACTCAAGTTCCAAAATGCATTTTAGTTAATTTAAATATTTTTGTAATAACAGTAAATTTTAAATGGTAGAGTCTTTATAGATACCAAAGTGTAATAAACTGCTTTCAAATACTTGGTTGCTGTGTATGATAAGCCCTGAAATATAGATTACAACAGTCTTTGTTTATGTAAAAGTTGAAAGATATTTTTCTAAACTATAACTTTTTATAGTGATATTGCAAAAAATATCTTGCAAATATAACAAAATTTTTAATTGCAATGTTTTTGTTTTAACTTGAAATTAATATTGAATATATGTAAGAATTTTCAATGGTTAAGTTGAACTAAAAATATTGTTATTTCCAGAATTCGTGTGTATAATTGATATCATTGTAGAAGAATGGCACATTTGAAACTAACTTTAATAAATGTTAGAATTTGTTAAAAATACAATATTGATAAACATCAATAATTCAAACATTAAAACTCAATTTTAAAACTTTAGTAACAGAAATGAATTTGAAATCAGAATTCTTCAGTATAAAGTTTTCTTTCTGACTTTTTTTTCACTTGTCAAAAACTAAATCACGTTTAGAAAAATGACAGATTTAGGGACTTCCTTCATGTGTACAGCAAATAAAAGCTTTAGGTTTAATTCTGTACAATTTTTTTTCATAACAATAACTTATAAAGGAAAAAATGTGACTTTATTTATAAATACAATTAACTTAAGATGTTTATTTATTTGGTCTTGATCTTCCTCCCCGAGCACTACCTCGAATCATAGTTCCTCCTCTTCCACGAGGATTAAATCCTGAAAAATTTAAGTTTAGAATTACTTAATTGTAATGTTTCTCTCACTTTTTAAATTTTAATTACCTCTACTGCCACCTCTTCCTCTCATTCCCATGCCACCGCCACGCTTTCCGTCACCCCTTCCTCTGCCTTTAGATATGGCATCATCTTTGACCATATCTATAACTTCATCAGGTATTCTTAAATATTTTATTGTACTTCCACGTATATAACACTCTGGCATTTTCCAAAATTTGTCACCATCCTAAAAATTTTTGTAAATTAATTACCTTCTTTCATTAAATCAAATCTTAACTACAATATATTAGGATGAAAAATACAATAAAATAATAAATTATAAAATCAGATCTTATGAGGAGTAAAGTTTTTAATTAGGCTATTAATAATTCATCAAGAATCAATTCGCCACCATATGTGCTGAATAATGATTGGGGAAAAAATGAGTTATAAAAACTGTAATTAATTTCCATTAAGCTCAATACTGATAAAATCAGTGTGTAGAATTAGAACTCTTTTGTTGCCTGAAAATGGGTAACAATTTTTTATCTTCTTTTCAACAAAAGGTTATGATAAATATTAATTTATCATCACATAAACTTTATGAATGTTGTAAATTAACAAGTCACAAAGTCTAGTAAATTATAGTTTTTTTTTTTAGCTATTCTCACTTAACATCCATAGTTTTAGAAGTGGATATAATTAATGATGATGAACATCATTCTATATAAATCTTCATAACATCTCAAAATCTCTCTTCAGTTTTATTTGGCTCTGTTAATTTGTTTTAAAAAATGAAAATAATGACTTAGGTTAACTCCGCTTTTCAATTAATGTAGTATATTAAAAAGCTAAGTTGAATATTATAACAATTTGTACTTTCAAGTCTTAGTACAAAAGTTTTCCTGAGTTTTTAATATGACACAGCTATTTAGTTACTAATAAGGGGATGGCATGACATTGGGGTCATCAATTTTTTGATAAAACTTGGTGAGGTTATAGTGCATCTCCAATAACTGACATGTGCCAAGCAGTAAGGTGCAAACACTCAAAATTATAAAAGAAAATTGAGGTTGAAAATTGCAAATCACTTAAAACCTTTAGAATTTCCATCATTTTTAGAGTGACCAGTAGGTCAGTGCAGGTGCATCAGTTTCATAGCCATGAGACCGAATCTTGGTTTTGTTAAGTTATGGCAATGCAACACTTGAGTGATCTGCCTAGGGGAGATGCCTTCCGGGAGATCTTTTTAAGGGTAACGGGCCCTGGCCCCTATTCAGGCATTAGACATGGAGAAAGTCCTGAAAACTACATGTGGCCAGCCTGTCCTGGCAAGGTGCAAACCCATGATGAAACTCCCAGTGTTCAGGGAATGGAACCACTTAGCCACTGGCAGGCCTTTCAAATCTTGGTGCTATGAATTTCCCCCAAACTATAATTTTCACATTATTCTTGGTACTTTAGATTTATTATACTGTCAGAGAGAAAAACTGATTTAATTTTAGGAAACTACAGATGAACAATAAACAGGGTATAAAACAATAACATTCATCTGTTTCAAGTAACAAATCATTGTCAAAAGCAATTAACAAATGCTACCTAATGGTAATTATTTAAAAACAAAACATTTTCTGTATAGTTCATTCATGTACAGTTTATACTTACTCTGCCAACAAAGTCATTGTTTAACATATATGTGTCTATAATTGCATCTTGATTACAAAAAGATGGCTCCAATATCTCGTTCTAACATCAATAGCATAGAAATGTGTTCTGCAGAAGAATCGCTGTACAACAGTACTACAAAATTTACATACCGTGAAAGCATTCTTCAAATTCAAGACCTAATTGCAGCCAAGGGTTCTTCATCAATTTCAGAAGTTGCAAAGACAATCAAAAAACATTAGGTGCTCAGATATTTTCAAATATGATACGATATGCATGATTCTCTTCCAAATTAGTTGATGGAGAAGTGTTTTTAAATACTAATTAGGTTTGTTTTTCCAGTAACATATAAATCATCTTATTGTAAAAACATCTGCATTTATTCAATGTGCACATTGCAGAAACATTTATTGTTTCACATGCTTCTACGATAATTATCCACAAAATTGTGCTCCCAGAGAGTAAACAGGTTGAATAATGTTAATAAAAAAAGACATTTTTATTAACATTAAAATTGGCCTTATAATTTTGTTATATCTAATCCTCTTCTCAAATTATTTATAAATAAATATTAGTAGAAATACCATATGTACATGTGTATTCAAAAATAATTTTAAAATAAATATAATAAGTTTAAAAATACCAAGAATAAAGTAAAAATTATAGTTTTAGGAACAAAAAAAATTTGACACCACCAAGATTCAAAACACCAACCTCATGGCTATGAAACCAGTGTACCTGCACCAACCCATCGCTAATCTAAAAATGATGGAAATTCTAAAGGTTTTAAAGTGATTTGCAATTTTCAACCTCAATTTTCTTGTTTAATTTTGAGTGTTACATCTTATTGCTTAGCACATGTCAGTTATTGGAGATGCATTATAACCTTACTGAGTTTGATCAAAATTGATGGCCCCAACATCGTGCCATCCCCTCATAAGACTAATATGAAAATCTATAATATAAGTTTTTATTTATATAAACAAACTAGAAAATTTTTCTTTTCCTACAATGTATCAATAATTTATGCAACTTGTGTATTGAGATGGGTCTTTATCAAAGGAGTGACAAAGTGGAGACGAATTTCAAAATGACAACATATCATAAGAGTGCATTTTATATCTAAAAATATATAAAATGCACTCACTGAAATAGCAAGAACAGCTTTGGTATATTTTTAAATTTAATTTTCACAAACTTCATATGTTATCTTAATGAGATGTATTTCTAAGAATTTTAAGTCCTGAACATAACTGCTTATCTCTTCTTAAATGCCAAAACATTTGTGAAAACAGTTTGTTGTTGTATTTTTGCAAACTCAGAGAAATTTTGGATCTTAGCATTCACAATAAATTCGTATTGTATGATGACTTTGTGGTGAAATTGACAGCAGATTGTATTTTATACTTAATCTACCACAAAAAATTGAAACTATATATAGAATGTATACTTTTCTAACCAACAATGGATGGATATCAATTTGTAAAATTCCAAATAAAAACAAGCTAAGCTGTCTCTCAGAGGATCCATCTACTGACATCACAATAATCATTGTTAAAATCATCTTTGAATTCAATTTATAAACGACTAAAATTATTGTCATTTTTAACTGTTACTTTATTCAAAGAAGATTAATTTTATTTGTTGAGAAGATATTAAACTTCTGATACTTACTCTTGATGTGCAAATCACTTCTCTAAGATTTATATTCATCCAATTATCACAGCTAACAAGATGGCCATTGTACGTTTCACCATTTTTCAATTCAACTAACTAGAAAAAAAAATTTCAAATTCTAAAATATTTACTTCATTTAGAAAATAAATTTTTTCTATCATTTCATCATTATAAATAAAAGATTTAACTAAATACTTACCATTGGATGATTTTGAGCTGTCCTCAATAATGATAGAGGCAACTGCAATAATAATAGTTCAATTTAGTTAAATAAAAATATCAAACTTAACTACACTCACTGACAAAAGGTTACACACCTAGATAAAATTGTCTAACTTGACATGTAGATCTAGGTAAATAATTATAGTTATGGTTTAATTACATGCCATGCAATGCCACAAATGCATCTTAAAATTTCTACCTCAGTAGGATTATCTTATTAAAAGAATTTCAAAAGTTGTGTTCAGAATTTTCAGTGCATCTATATTTGGAGGTCTTAACTGCCAGGCATACCTATGCAATACATTTAAAGGCATTATTCACAGATGATGGAGCTTAAGAAAAGACACATCATTGGGCTGAAAAAATCAGATTGTCTGTTTCGTTGAATTGCCCATCATCTAGGTATTCTGACATGGCTGTAAGGATGCCATGTCAGAATGTGGAATCTTAGTGCCACAGATATGCAAGGAAACATATACATAGCAGGCAGGTTCTAGATGACTTAAGATAGACCACTAAGAGATGATTGTCTGATTATGAGATAAGTACAAACAGCTGCAATGATAACTTTGTCTATCATCCAAAGACACATGGAAGCTTTCTACAAAATAATTTCTGTTCCCATGCCTGATAGCAGATGATTAACAAAGGAATATTTGCATGCATAATAACCACTGTATGTCCTGATGATAGCACCTCAACATTGTCAGCTTCATTTGCATTGGTGTCATGACAAGCATGGATTGTTATGGACTAATAGCTTATTATCTTTAGTGATAAATCCCTGTTGTATTTGGAAACAGATGACCAAACATGTTAGAGTATGGAGGTCTACCAGTGAGCACTTCAAGCCACCTTTACTGCTGAAGGACAGACTGTTCCCAGTGCATATTGGTTTGGACATGTATTTGTGGGATCAGATGAGATGCTAGTTTTGGTACTGCACAACTGCTAATTCATTTATAAACGAATTATGAATTTATAAATGAGTTATGTGCTAGTGCTATATGCCATTCTCCACCAAATTTGCTCACAACTGCTAATTCATTTATAAATGAATTAGTAGTTGTGAGCAAATTTGGTGAAAGATGGCATATAGCACTCGCACATAACTCCATAGCTGAATAGAGTACAGTACTGAAGGTTTATTTAAATTGTACCATTGTTCCACAGGTAATTGTCCTTTTGCTGATGATATGGTATGAATGGAAATGATATAATAACTTATTGCTATTGTCATTACATTTCCATTAATAAAGTTTATTCAATTATAAAACAATGTAACTTTTTTCAATGAGTGTATAATACAATATAAATTTCATATTAATTAATACTTACTGAACATATCTGATCAGCGTAGTCAGTCAAATATTTAATATAAATTAATAAATGATTTTTAATCTTTTCTTTGTTTAACAATATATAGGGTATCTAAGAAAGACTTACATAATTATAAAATCTCATTAAAAAACAGTGCTCTATTGCAGTTGCAGTGGAAATGTAGTTTGTGTTAAAAGAAAAATTAACTCAAAAATTTTTTATTACAAAAATTAATACAAAAAAGTTCAAGTTGTCTTACATTTAGTGCTCTTCCACATGTGCTTCTTTAGGTGAATGAAGAATGTCAATCGATAACCAATTTCCTGCCAGGTAGTGTTTCAAAAAGATGGTGCATTACCTCACTGGGCAATTTACTTATATAACTTGCTTGATACATTGTTTTCTGAATGATAGACTTGCCAAGGGAATCAACACCCTAGACCTAACATAACCCCACTAATGTCTTTTTGTGTGGTTATGTGATGTAATGTTATGTTTTGAAAGAAAGGATAACCATTGCAATCTCCAATGTTACATAGAAAATGCTAAACAACATTTGGCAACAGATCAGTTATTCTTTGTGCAATGTGTGGATTTGTGTTTTTGATGAGATTCATTATGTGTATGCAAAACAATTTCTGCTTTTGTATTAATTTTTGTACTAAAAAAACTTTTGAGTTAATCTTTCTTTTATTGCAAACTGCATTTCAATAGACCACTTCATATTTTATATGAAATTTTGTAATAATTAGATCTTTCTTGGATACCCTGTATTGTAATATATCTTAAATTTACACTATATTATAATTATCACAAAATTTATTATAAAGTAATAATAATGACAAAAATACAAAAGGTTATATTTAGCTTTTAATAATAATAATAATAATGTTTCAAAATCACATATGTATAATTAATTAAAAAGTTATCCAAGTTTTACATAGTGTTAAAGACAAAAAAAAAAAAAAAAGTTAATTTTCAAGTTAATCATAATATAAATATATATGATAATTTTAAGAATATTTTAGACAATAAGCTATATTAACAACATAAATTATTATTTAGAACTAGCTGCAAGGACCCGCTTCACTGGGTTTTTATTTGTTCGTACATTTGTATGTAATATAGTTTTTGTATTTTATACAGGGTGCTTCAAAAAATTATAGTTATGGTTTAA